AATCAACGTATTATATTCTTTGCAAGCTCTTGTGGGCCACATACAATGAAGTGGCGGGCCGGATTTGGCCCCCGGGCCTTGAGTTTGATACCCCTGGTTTAGATATAAGCCACCTTACCTTTAAAACAGGGGTGTCAAACTCAAGGCCCGGGGGCCAAATCCGGCCCGCGACTTCATTTTATGTGGCCCGCAAGAGCTTGCCAAGATTATAATACGTTTATTATACGGTTACATCCCACTTTTCAGAAGCAGGTTGCCCATAAACTACATGTCCCACAATGCATCTCGTTGTGTGACATGCGCACTGAAGAGACTTGCAATTATTTGCCCTAGACTTATGCTTTCAGACGTAGTTAATTACTAAGTTATTATCCTATCCGATAATAATCCAATTCAGAGGCAATAATGTAATATAATACATTATTTTATATATATTATATATTTATGTATATTTATATAGTTACAACCAGCCCTTTGAGTGCAACCATAATGCTAATGTGGCCTGCGATGAAATTTAGTTTGACACCCCTGCTTTAAAAGAAAACTCATGTGGCAATTTAGTTTCTACTCTAAGAATAGCTAGATTTGTTATAGTAACACTAACTTACGACTCGAGGTATTAGCCATTTTACAATTGAGCAGAATATCACTTTTTCTTATTATTACTAATACATTACACACGTATATACTGTAATTTACAACTTATATATTGTAGTACAAGGTTTACATTTTAACCATTGACTTATCATGTTTATATCAATATTTGTAGTCAATGTCTTTCATTGGTCATATAAGTTTAACTTGAATGTTTATAAAAATATCTTGTTTTTTTATTATACATTATTGAACTTGTTCATGTTTATAGAAATGTTTTTATTATTTTATATATATAGATAATAATAGATTATTTATTTAATTAGTTGTATCCAGATAAAGCTTCGTGTACAGGAAGAGCATGTACAGAAACCCACATCCTATTGTTGGTTGCTAAGATATTAGCTTTGGGTTTTATTGTTTTTGTATACATGCAGGGTAATTGTTTCTGCATTGTCAGTGAAAAATAATGTAATACAGAAGAGTGTGTCAGAGTGAGTTAGAAATTAAACAGTAAAGGTCTCCTAAATAGAAATAAAGCCTTTAAAACACGGAAGGGAAATACTTATCATAATATGTTTCTGTTTTCAACAAATCCCAAGACACAAAAATCACATCTCGTCCAAACAAAAGAAAAATGAATATTGTAGAGGATGTGTCCTCTGTGTACAACTTGCACACTGCCCGCCCTGAGCTGCAGCTCTCCATTAACTTCATAAAGGTGTAAGGCTATCTGGGGAAATCCCCTCATTGGTTGATTTTATAATTGCTTCCAGATACAATATTGGCCCTCAGCTGAGTGCCGTCTCGCCACAATAACTGTGTGCAGCAAAGCAGCAGTTAGGGAACACATATACTGGCTAGGGCTAAAAAGATGTATATTGCAATTTGTCATCTTTATGGGTTATGTACGATGAATTAAAGAATATAAGGAATACATCTGTGCCAGTTATCACCTAATTTTGGTTCTTTTCTGTCCTTTTTCCTGCAGCTCAAAGCTGGAGAGACGGCTGCAGTCATCGCCCGGGAGTTAGCAGAGCAAACGAAGCGTAATCTCCAGGCGGGAGACATCACGTTCACCGTGAAGGCCATGGTGCAGCTGGTGGACCTGCTCGACGTGCAGCTCAGGAACCTGACGCCCGGTGGCAAAGACAGCGCTGCACGGAGCCTCAACAAGGTACAAAAACGAATATCTATGCTCTAATACATATATGGCTATCTAACAGGGTGCATAAACAGGATGGTTTCTACTCCTTTACGCCAAAGCTTACAACGTTAACTCAAAAGTGCCAATTTATGTGTCCAAAACCTTTCTGAGTGTTCAAAATGTATGCTTACCGTACCTTCCACATCACCTCCACCCAGTGCAACCTGAACAGTAGTTTTTTTTTTTATGATCTGCTTCTGCTGTCAGAAAAAGTGAGACCTAGCGTTATCCTGAGGTCAATGCATATGAAACACCTTCAACTACAGCGGAGAGCATATCTGTAGCCCTCATGCATTATGCTATCAGTTCAACTTTGATGTAGTTTAAAGGATGTCATGCTCGTCTAAAGCACTACACATGCAGCATTTGATTTATACTAATAGTACAGCGTAGGTTTTCGGATCCAAGCTCTGTGAGAGTGAGTCATCTCAGCGACTCACTGCGAGCACAAATAATACTTCCTCAACAGCAAACATCAGTGACATTTAAAATGTCACTCGTTAATTTGGAGGAGCGGCTTCACTTGTAGGGGAGAATGAACACCTGGTCTCAAATAGCTTTTCGGGGGGCAGACCGTTTTTATTTCATTGCTGCGACACACACAGATGTCCCCATTGAGATTTTAGTGGCAGTGTCCTCCAATGGAGAGGCAAGGCAGTAAAGATGGCCGAAAGCAAAGGGGCAGGCAATGGGGAAACTCACGTTGAGGAGGATCTGCAGTTTATACTACCTCTTGAAAAAAGGTTTCACATAAAACCCTCCATTGAAGATCTGCTGTGGTGGAGATAGCTGCTGAAGTCTTTAGTTTCTCTTGTAAAGGTGAGGAACTGGCTCAAAAAGGCAGTTCTGTGGAGTTGAATGAAAAAAGCTTTTATTAAGGAGGTCAGGGGATTTATAATTCTCCGTCCATTGTTGCAGTACCTCTCTCCCTCGTGTTGGACGTCCTCCCGGCTGATGTTTACCTCCAATCCTTTTTGACACAATCTGCAGAGAGCTAAGCGAATTAAAGATTTTTTTTGCCGATAGCGCTGCACAATGCTCCTGCCAGCAGACAATGAGAGGATTGAGTTGGCAAACGGAGAGATCAGTGTGCTGCTCATGATCAAAGGGGAGCCGGCTCATGCTTTCCAGTGGAGTGGGCTGTGATGTGGAGGAGTGGGCTGCGATGTGGAGCACGGGGCTCCTTTATGAGGAAACGGTGCTCTTAGGAGCTAATCTGCATGGATTTAGCACGGTACCAGATTCTAGCTGTTAAGCCACACAGAAGCTTTGTTGGCTAGCCCGCTTGTTTTAGAACTCGATTAAAATAATTCAGTCTGCGTGCAGTGCTAACCGAGCTACCTGTCATTCAGGTGTGCTAAATCACAACTGAAACCGCGCTCCTGAGTTCTCACATGCATTTCTTATCTTTCTGAAAAACTGAAATACTTGCCTTGAAATCACAATCAAGTGTGCCATAGATGTATTCCCACATGGCTTGTACATCTCGTTTTAGTGCTAATTAACACACGAGCCTCTGATGTGTTTCTAAGATCAGGTATAATTAATGTATTTGCTACACGGTTTATGAAAGTGATTTGAATCTTTACTTCAAGCTGCTGAAAGAAATGTATTTCAGAGGACTTGTTTGATATGTTAACCTTTTCCTAACTCTGATTTTCTTTGTGTTGCAGCTGCAGAAAAGAGAGCGTTCTTGCCGCTTTTATGTTCAGGTATTTGGACAAAATCTCCCCCTCTCTAAATCCCCTCCATTACCTCATTGTGGCAACTCTGCTGCCATCTTTCATCATATCATCCAAGTTCACTTCCATGCCTTGAAGTTATATGTCATCATTTCCCCCCTGCATGCACGTGTCGTGGAATTCTGCCTCTAATGTGTTTGGCCTGAGCATGAATTTTTCTCAGGTGCCTCAATCATTTAAAAAATGCCCTTAAACCATCACATCAGCAGTGCGTTCCAGTGAAATAACCCACATAAGTGGATAGCATCAGTCAAAAGAAAATGCTCTCAGGCACACTCTACTTTTCTCAGAAAATGCTTAAGAACCACAGAAGTGACCTCATTACTGCAGCAAGTCAACTTCTAACTACTCTGTCAGCCAAAGTCATGGTGTGTTGTGATTCTCCCTGATGCATAATGCATGTGTGTCCTAATTTAAGGGGGGGCCTCTATTGCTTCTCTCAGTTTTTTCGCGTGCTGCTGAGTGGTTTTGGTATTCCTGAGGTGACATGTGAACTGTCATCAGAATAGTTTGACGGGAAAACTGTGGAATAAGTTGACATCTTGTCTGCCGTACAGATGCTCCCATAAAGCTGCACTTCTCATTAGAGACAGACGTTTGTTGTGTGCACGCTCTGCAGCTCATGTAAAGCAACATGCATTTGCCTACATTCCTCCGAGGCATGTCAGAAGGCACTGCTGCTGCAACAAAACAATTTCCCAATATGGATGAATCAAATACATCTAATCTAACCGTATTGAATCTAAAAATAAAAAAATACTGATATATTTTATTTGATATGTTGCATATATTACATTTTTTTTTTTTTTACTACATTCTATGGAATAACTGTCCAGAAAAACGAATTCCCCCGGGATAAATAAATATTTCTGATGACTTATTCTAACATTTTCATAGCAATCCAATAATTGATGATATGTTTCAGTCTGCAGAAACATAGTCAAATACACCAATATCAGCAGTATGGAGCAAAGTCAGTGGCACGGCTAAAGAAGGTCAAACTCTGTGATTTACCTGCAGCTGCTGCACCTGGCCTCATGTTTCCACACTGAGGCTGTTTCGTACATTCCCACAGCTGACTGTACGCTGTGCTGTGCACCTCCTCCTCTTGCTCCCTCGCTGGGTTGATAAATTCAAACACCTCTGAGGAGCTTTCACTTGACGAAGCGGAATAATGGAGCAACATCTGTGGCCGTAGGTAAACACCGCCATCGACTGCACGCGCCGCCAGCCTTTCAGGGACTTTTCATTGATTCGAGAATTTGGGCAATCGTTTCTCCAGCGGGGCCCTAATGGTTGACATAAATGGGATTAACAGAGGAATTCAAAGCAAATGAGACGCGCACCTGCCTCTGCTGCTGCAAACACACCTCAGTACTTTGGGAACATGGCAGAGTGTGTGAGTGTGCAGGTGCGGTTGTGCTGAAGGATGACACACTCCAAGATAAAGTGCAGGGCTTCAGGTTAATGTCTAAATGAGGTAAAGAGTAATTCTCATTGGTTTTAAGTGATGAATTCACCTCGTTCTGACGTTTTTTCTCTTCAGCATCAACTTCACACCTGTGCCTATGAGACAATCATTGGTTGTTCTTCTGAATCCGTCTCGGTTGTTCATAAGCAGTGATCTCTGCCACAAGTCATAACCAATTTGGCCTTGATAAACTACAAAGCATATCATGTCCTGTGTTCGCCCTGCAGGATTCCCCGTGGTGCCCTTTGATTTTCGAACAAACATGATAAAAACAGCGGCCTCCTGTGCCTCATAGTAACAGCAGCTTGTTTATGGGTAGTGACATTATGGTCCAATTACTGAGATTATGTCCATCCACTAAGCTAAAGTCAAGCACGCTAGCTTTGGATAGTGTCTTCCTGCGGCATTTATTGTGTTCTAAAGCAGAGAAGTATGTCGTGCAACACACAAAAGATCAACATAATATCTTGTGAAGCCAAGTGAGTGTGAATGTTGAGGACAGAGGGAGGATCCGGCGCTGCGACCCCTCATTAAAACGACACCTTCACACACAGAGACGACCGGGGGAGGCTACTGGCGCAGATGACCTGAGAGCAGGCGGAACAGAGGGAGGATCCTCATTCCGGAATGTAACGAGATTATATAATTTCTCTGGCAATACATTTGTTGGAAGATGAAGATAACCTCCTCCTCATAAACGGAGAGATATCCTCATCTGGCCTGCAGGGAGCTATGCATATTGTGAGATGAAGAGAAGCAAGTGGAAGGAGTTTTCAGGGATTGTATCCTATATTTATGTTCATTAAGGTAGCATGATATTATAAACACATGCATACTGGTAATTCTGAAATCTCAAATAAAAGAGTGCTTGAGCTGTTTTTTTAAGTACAATCGATTACTTCTCACAAGATGTTTGGGATTAATAGTGTCTCCTGCAGTGTTGGAATTTTTTATTGGAAAAAATAGCATGTCATTGTACCTATAGCTTTAAAGTTAGCTTGGCCCCGTGACTAGTGTGAGCTTTACTGCAAGTTGGTTTAAACTAGTATGAAATATTTTTTTCATTGTCAACCACAGTTCCAACCAAGCCCCCACACTTCTCTTACCCTGGCAACATCAACCTGCTCTGACTGGGGACTTCCAAGACGCTCTCAAGCAAACTTGGAAATATAATCCCTCCACCTGGTCCTGGGTCTGCCCCTCAGCCCCCGCCCAGCTCCTCCTTAGGGAGGCGGCCAGGTGGCACACTTACTCCCCGAACCACCTCAACAGGCTCCTTTCAACGTGAAGCAGTAGAGGCTCTACTCCGAGTCCCTCGCTATGACTGACCTTATCCCTAAGGGAGATGCTAGCCACCCTCCGGGGAAAACCCATTTGAACTGTTGTATCCACAATCTCAATCTTTTGGTCATGTTCCCCCCCTTCATGACCATAGGTGACGGTAGGAATAAACATGGCCTTCTGATTCAGCTCTCTCTTCATCACAACGGTGCACAAAGCTCCCGCTGCTCCGATTCTCCAGCACATCTCACGCTCCATTGTCCACCCACTCAGAACAAGACCCCGAGATACTTGAACTCCTCAACTTAGGTGAAGACTCATTCTCTACTCGGAGTGGACAGTCCATAAGTTTCCTGCTGAGTACCATGGCCTCACATTTAGAGGTGCTGATCCTCTTGACAGCCGCTTCACGTTTGATTTTTTTCCTGTGAAAAATACAAAATCACAAACTCACTTCCAAAACAACTTTTTAAGAGCCGAACAGAAAGTATTTCCTTAGAATGAGAAATGTCTGCAGGAAATGTTAAATTAGTGTTACATTGAACAAATTAATTTGTAAACACCAAAAGTTAAATAGTAGCAACTGGAAATAATTAGGAAACAAAACTGTATTTTTGTTAAACAAACAATCTTATATTCAGAGTATAACATGGCGGTTTACAGTATAACAACTTTAATTCAATTAGGCAATAGGTCAACATGGATGACGTTTTGTACTTCTAAAATACATGCTTCTAAAACTGGGTAAGCCATGTCTCTAATAAAATGTATTTGTAATGAAAGTCAGCCTCTGCTGTTGATAAATAAATAAACGGGCTGATGTGTGGGAATAGTACAATAGTGAGATTAAACATAAAAAAAATAGACAAAAAGCGGAGAGATAATCCCTCAGAAACTCACAGACACAACCACCCGCCTACAAGAGAGAGATATAACGAAATATTAAACAAGAAGCTTGCAGAGATTTTCAGAGAAGGCGAGGATTTGGCTCGCAGGTCAAATGAAAAAAAACAGAAATGATGCAAAAGCCTCACCTGAGCCGATGTCGTCAGATACATTTGTGTTGATTGTACTTCTAATTTTGAGTCAGACAAAAGTGAGAGGAACCGACTGGAGAACAGGAAGGGAGGAGGAGAGGGAGATCAGCCTCCGTCAGAATCAATTTCCCAGACCTAGAGTTCATTTCATCAATCAGCACATACACCTTGGACCGCAGCCAGGCTACGCTAATGGCCCATGCTCTGCAGCTTTTCACGCCCTGTCCTCCTTCTCCTCCTCCTTTTTCCTCATGGAACATTCCTGCAGCTGAGGAGCATTTCCCCTCTTGTACCAGGAACCAGAACACACTACCTTCTTTCAGCACAGGAAAGGAAAGTAGACAAGGAAATGTGTGAGTTAGCTTCAGCAGACTGGAAGCTACATGTGACAGATGGAGTGGCAGCGTGCTAATGGCATCACGTCTCAACTGTGCTGCTGCATGGGCGCACATCTCCAGCTCACCGGCTGCTGGCTGTAGCTTCATGTTTAACATCAGAGTGGGCATGCTGTAGCCGCATATCTGAGTGCTGATTCTGCAGGGGAAGATGTTGGTATTGTTCTCAAGTCTGTTTTGGTCATGCTTGCTTCGACTCTACAAAGCTGTGTCACAAAAACACTCTTTTGACTCTTGTTCCTTATACATTTTGAGGGAAACATATACCTCCAGGTCTTGTTGGTAGGAGATAACATGTAAACATGCAAAATTAATATCATAGCCATCACTGCGGTTTAAAAAAAGATACGATTTATGTCATTCTTCTTCTTCTTCTTCTTCGTGAATTGGAGAATTTGTCGGTGCGTTGGCTTTGAAAGAAAGGTCTGGATACATGACATCAGTTTTTTAAGGCTCCAATGCTGTTTGACACACATGCTGTAGAAAGCTTAACAAGACCATCAGGGACACAAAGTATAACACTGGAAAGACACTTATTTTACTCTTCTAAATAGTTATTAACCATTTTAGAGGACAAAGGCATTGGCATACTTCCCTTGGATATCAGTAGGAGTATAGTTTTCTTTTGGACATTATTAACACTAACATAGATGTTTTGTATGTGAAGTATCTCTCTTCAGTCCTGAGATTTCAATTATCTGGTTTTAATGAGGCAAAATTGCCATGCCACAGACATATTAATATCAGTAATGAATAATCTGCGTCTCAGCGATTTGGTAATCTGTTGCATGTCCAATAGATGCTCCATGAGTGATTGTCAGCGTCATTCTTTTACATCATAAATGCCTGAAAGAAAGCTGATCTTTATTACAACACCGCTTTTGGTAAATGTTTCATACACACTTTTATTCACTATCAATTATCCATTGTGCATTCACAAAGTTACTGACCCCTTCTTCTGCCTTTCTGCCTACGCCTCCGTCTCCGCTGCATGCAAAGCAGCGAGTCCATCAATCGTTCCCCTGAACAACCATTATTCCAGTGTTTTAAGAAGTGCTGAAAAAAACATTGCAGTGGTGAACAAAGGGAAATAAAATGTCAGTGCCTGAAGAAAAGGAGCTCCTTAATTGAGAGCGAATCAACCTCTGCCTGGAGCTGAATGTCAGGAGGTGTGATTGGAGATTGGCTGCAGATAATGAATAATTACATCAAAGTTGCCAGACTGCGTGCACACGAGCGTGCGAGTTTCTCTGTTTTTGTGTACGAGCAGGTGCAGAGGTGTGTGTTCGCTCTTGCGTCAGCCTCTCAGTGTGTGTGGGCGGCTCGTGTGTGCCCGGTATGTTTTGAATGAGGAGAAGCCAGCTGGTGCTGTTTGAAATTCTCATCCAGCGTCAGTGAGCCGGACACAATCTCCTCTTCTATCACAGCCATTCCAAACAAACATACAATTTAACATCATGAGGTAATTGGGGGGTCCATTACCATTTTTTTTCATCAGGAAGTCATTTGATACACTAAAGCACATGATTCCTCTTATTCGCCTGTAGCTTTATCCCTGTGCTGTTTTCTGAGTCACACTCAAACTCTTTCATAATACGCTGATCAAAACAGGGATCTGATCGAAGTTCAGAGAGAACTTGACACTCCCTGTTTTTAACACGCATCAGATCTTCTATCTTCTGCATGTCACAGATTAAACTGGCTTTTGAAGAAGTGCAAAAAGGAAAATCAAAAGTCAAACCATTTTTACATCAGATATGAGATTTCCTCTTTTAAAGGCGGATTGGTTACGCCGTGCAGGAAATGTCTAATAATTCTGCATTCGCCCACCTCAGAAATGTATTTTCTTCCACTCTCACACTCATTTTGCTCCTCAGTGCAGAATTGGATTAATTGCTTAGCTTGACCAATTAGTATTCTCTTCATATATCTTGCCATTGGCATTTTTAAATCTTTAATGGCTCTTAATTTTTCATCTTGTCTTCGAGAATGTTTCTTCCTTGCTTCCTCGCTTTGGCGTTGTTGTGTGAAGATTATAAAGAAGGCCTAATAGTTGTTCTGAGATTTTAAAGTGCAGGAAGGATGCTTGCAGATTGATGCTAGCAGCGATACCTTGTTCATGCACTGTGTTAATGTTTCCGTGTGTAGTGCATTGGGAGCGTCTGCATGGAGAAAAATTAATCATACCAATTAAAGACTCTAACCTTAAGTCATGTACAAACTCGCCTCTAGCATTGTGGTGATTAATTCTTCTAGAAGATAAAAACTAGTGTAACATCATGTTCAATGTCAAAACAGATGAAGGTGCTACTTTCTATCTCCAAAAGCATATAATTGCTCAGTCGAAATATTATCAAGGAATATTACTTCAAATGAAAAAGGGGTGGAAACACTTCATGCCTCTTCCTTCCACCGTCCCTCAGGGTTGCACGATTTGTTTTTCAGCCCCTTTCCTCTCCCCTCACTCGCACCGTTTACCACATCACCTCCACATACAGCGGCAGTCCCTCAGCAGCTTAGCTCTTCTCACTGAATCAATGATCTGCCTCCACAGGCCATGGTGGAGACGGTCAACAATCTGCTGCAGCCGCAGGCGCAGGCGGCGTGGAGACAGCTGAGCACCGCGGAGCAGCTGAGGGCCGCCACCACGCTGCTGGACACGGTGGAGCAGGGCGCCTTCATCCTCGCCGACAACCTGCTGAAGACCGACATCGTGCAGGAGAACACCGAGAACATCCGTGAGTGCAAGCAGTGTCTGTCTTTACATGCAGGAGCCATTTACATGTGCATATACTGAATGTAGAGGAGGGTATTAAACATCGCCTCCAGAAATGTTTTTCATCTTATAAAGGAAACATTTGGAAAGACTGTTACCTCAATCTTTCTGTTGAGAGTTGTTCACACAGTGCTTTTGAACATTTAGTTTGGAGTTTATCTTCACATGCAGATGTCCTTTACCTTTAAATACTGTATATATGAAGAAACAGACACACCAAGGAATCATTCTCAATATCCCCTCCAACGTGTGTTAATATGCGTACAAATAGTAGGTGTTCAATGGTTCAAGGATTGTGGCGCTTTGTTTGGAGTGTCTTTTCAACTTGCCAGTGCTATGAACCCTTGAATGTGGAGAACACTAAAGTGTTATAAAGGTATAATAAGGGTACACACATTTTGCAACTGCCTGATGCTAACTTACATATGGTGTGAAAATAGACTGCACAAAAAATGCCCAGCATACATTTCTTAGGACATATACAATAATATTAAGCATGCAATGTTTTCTGCCATGGATGCATTAGGAAAAACATCCTCCTTTTCATTCCTTTGGACAGTGTTCACTGGGCACATTACGCTCTGTTAGGCTCTTTCTCCGGCTCCTGCTGACTCACACTAACATTGCATTAAAACATATATTTTATAATTACTACATACTCCCATGCCTTCCAAATTGCATTAGAAGGCACGGATCAAATTCTGATAAATAATAATTTCCCGGAGTGAGACTTAAAGTATCTGTATCACTTTGGCTTGCTGTTTTTCACCAATTAAAGCATTGAAAATGGCATGGAATCGAGCAAACACTTAATTATACTTTAATTTGGTTGACTTCGCCTGCATGAGTAAACCATCTTGGACAGAATTAAGTTAATTTGTCCTCAAGCTGCTGGGAAACAGATTAGTGGCTCTGCTGGAAGACAGCAGCAGTGTGGATTGTGATATTTAGGAAAATGGAAATTTTCAAATGTTTGGTTTTATCTGTTTAATGTTCACATATGTCTGTGACTTCTTCTTCTCTGTCAGCTGTAAATCAACAATCATCTGATAATTATTCTTATATTAATGTAACTTGCAGACCAGGGATCACTGCTCATTATCCAAAGTATAAATGCCAACAGACGGATAATGGAGCTACTGTCATCAGTAGTAGAATGTATTAAGCATACATTGAGAGAGCACAAATTCAAATAAATGAAATAACCGGTTCTGCAATAAAAAGACAAAAATAATGTCATGATGAATTGCCTCTCTTCTCAGAACAAATCTAAAAATATAGGTCTGCTGATTTAAAAAGGAAGCGAGAATTAATAAGGGATTTGATTGTATCTGGCGTACAATTCATGTGGGTATTAAGAGATTCTGGATTTGGAGAGGAGTGGGGTTTTATAGCTCGTGGAGGTAGTCTGGTTAATTATGGGATGTCGACATGTTTACTGCGCCTCATCTCTCTATTTCCTCAGCTTATTTTGCCACGCAGGAGCCCTTAAATAAGGACCATTTAAACATCAGTGCAGCAGCTGACTCATGACCCCTCACACTGATTTGCACTAAAGTGTGTGTGCAGATGTGTCAAACACACCTGCTGTCAACACTGTTCTCCTTAGAGTGAATAGAGAGAAATCCTCATCCCAAATTTCAAGCTGATAATGAGATCTATTTTCTTTCAAAGGCAGCGGGATATTTTCTCTCTCCATTGTGTGTCTGTTTGTGTTTACACGTCACACTTCGCCTGTGCGCTTCACTCTCCGCGTGATAATCTGATGAGCAGATTTCTGCCGATTAGCGTGTTATTTAAACGGCTTTGAAGGTATAGCCTTCGGGGTCCAACGTCGACTATGGCATCAAAGGAACTCCCCAAAGCCCACCGTAAGCTCTTTTACACAACCTCACAGGGAACAGAGAGGCAGAGAGGCAGCGGGGAAATGCTTCCTTTATTCCAGAGGCAGGCGTGGAATCCAGGGAACGGTGAGCTATCTGGGGTATTGTCTTGGCTAAGTCGAATAGGAAGGTATCACCAAACCCCCTGGCCTTTGCAAAAGCACAAGAGAACCTTAAAACAGAAGAGAAAGTATGAGAACAGACACAAAGGCAGGATTTGATGTGGCCTCTCTTGTAGCTTTCTTTGGCGATAACCTTTATCAAAGACAGAGATGTCACAGTCCACCGCCATCACATCAGCTGCATGCCTTATCGGGCTTAATGAAGTTTCTAGTCCTTACACTTGATGGAATTGTGTTTCCAGTTGAGATTCTCCAGCGCAGACTAATCTGCCGTTCGGTTTCTGTGTGGAGATGACTGCCATTAGTGTGGTGCAGCGGCAAGGAGCATGAAATGTTTGGACTGATCACCTCTGCAGCAGAGGAAGGGAGCCGAGGTGACGCCGTCTCAAAACACGGGCCAGAAATTGGTCATTTGTGAAAACACATCAGACAAACCTACTTCCATCAAGGTAAAGGTTAGTCAGTAGGATTTGAAGAGGGAAGAGGAGGGAGATCGCTAAATGATCTAAACATGGATGAGGATTGATGTGAGGGAACTTACTTCCTGTTTCTCCCCTGGACACCTGGAGCTGATGATGACACTTCAGGAAGTCACTGCACCAGGAAGATAACCCCTGTAAATATATATATATATATATTACTGGTTGTTCTTCTGGATGCACTAGCAGGGCTATTCAATTAGTTTGGAATTGGGGCCGGTTGATGAAAATGATCCAAAGCAAGGGGCCGGGAAAAAAATGGCTCGAAATATGAGTAATCATATTAAGAGCTTCAGATACAGTAAATACTACAGCAGGTCACCCTTGAAAAAGAGATCAATGATCTCAATGGGATTCACCTGCATAAATAAAGGTTTGAAATGAAATGAAATGACTACAACCAGCATAAGTGGAGTGCATATATTTTTAGTTGTAATTAAATCAAACATAGCCCAAGCCGTTTATAAATGGCAAGTTCAGAACTCACAGTACATGTGAACCTAATATAACATCAACTTTAGATTTAGCATTACAATATATCTAATAATTCACACAAAATAGCAATTTAGGGCCCAGTACACAAACAACAGTGCATATTAATGGATTATAATAACCAATAAAGACAATGTGAGCCACACCACCAGCATCAGAATTGCTAATTAAAGCAAAAACAATGTATCAAAAGACTTGTATTAATTACCAAACCACAACACACAGCCTTTTAAAAACTCAAACCTTTTTTAATTAACATAGTGATACTGACATACAGTATGCAACCAATCTTGCAGATATGTGCCATCTAATGAGAAGAAACTGGCATTTTTTTCTGGATGTGTAGCAAGTAGCAGGGAAGTCGGCGGAGTATAACGTTGTCTAGCATGGCAATAACGCATACAGAGATGCAGATGCTGGTCAGTGAGGGATGCTCGATTAATGAGTTTTTATGGCATTATCTTGTGTGTGAGAATTGCTCCGATTCGCACGTGTAAGTCGAGCCACAAACATTGTGAGATACAAAAGTGCAAGACCCCTTGAATGAGGGAATTTCTCGTGGCTGACTTCATGAGCATCCAGAACTTTTTCAGAACCCTGCCAGACTGAAATGACTTCGCAAGGTACTCAACCATGAATGACTGAGAATGTCAATGAAGTTCGAGTTGTAAAGACGCGTCATTTAATGTCACAATCAGCTCCTTTGCTTTCAGTGCAAACTCCGTCATCCCATCTACATTCACTAGAGATAGAGGTCGCTTCACATTTGTCATCACTTCAGTCGGCACTGTTGAGATCTGAAATACTCACATGTTAAGAGAAACCTCGTCGCGGCAAAGTTGGGTTTTCAATGCGTCCATAAAATCCAGTCATCACCTCGGTGAGTTGTAAACCTGCAGTGCGCAGTTGTTGGAAAAAGTAGCATTTTGCCTGGACATAAATCCGGCAAAAAAAGTGTGAAGCTGTTTTTTGTGAAAACGCATGGAGTCTCTCCACAAGTTGTGAGAACGCATTTTATCTCTGCCCTGCCAGCTCATACAATTGAGCTTGGTTCAGATGTTGGATTGGAAAAAATGTCGCCTCAAAAAGCAAACAGCAGCGTAAAACTCATCATTCTCTATCAGACACAGAAAGGCGTTGGCTTTTTTATGTTTTGAATTGCGGAGAAACGCCATGACCTCCTCCTTAAATTCACAAAATCGTTTCAAGACGTTTCCTTTGCTTAGCCATCTAATGTAACTGTGCATGAGCAAATCATTATATTGAGCTGACATGTCTGACAACATCTGGCGGAAAAGGCGGTGCTGTAAACTGGAGTTACAACAAATAAAGTTAATAATCGCCATGACAGAGTCCATTGTGTTTTTTAACTCACCACTCAGTTTTAACGCTTTTTCTGATTTTCTCATCTGCAACCACTTCCTCAATTGATGAAAGCATACACTCTTTGACTGTCTCTGCGTCCGTAAAAGGCCTTTTCTTTTTGCCTAATATCCAGGCCACTCGTAGGGACGCTGCGGTAGCTCTCTCTTGGTCAGTGCAAGCCCGAAACAGGGAGCTACGTCTTTGGTCATAGCACGAAGTTAGCCCCAAAATCTTCTGGCGGCGAGCATCAGAGCCCGCTGGAAAAGTGGCGTCAAAGTTGGCGTGAGCTGTCTTAAAATGCCTTCTCAAGTTGTACTCTTCACACACCGATAAACGCTCATTGCAGATTAAACACACGGGCCTCCCACTGACATTTACACACAAGTACTTCTCTTTCCACTCGCTGTTGAATTGCCGGTTTTGGGTGTCAACCTTTTGTTTTTTTAACGTAGAAAGAGACATTTTGATATCCAACTATGCTGACCAGGTTTGATTAATCGTACGATTGGCGCGAAACCGTCGAAGGTGCGCGAGCTTGTAGTGAAGGGCAGCGCGAGCTGCAAGGACGCGCGTAGAGACGCAATAAATGACAGGAGTTACTAGTAGGTGGGTTCGAAACCCGAGCCCGCCAAAGTTTTCAGGCAATGTCTTCCCCTCTATCTCTCAATGTAACACCCTCTCAGGAATAAAGGCACTCTGGCCCAAAAAAAAAATGTTAAATGAATTTTTTTTTTTAATTAAACTTTAATTTTTTTGTTTTACTTTTTAACATTATACTCAATGGGCCAGTAAATATCACCCGGGGGCCGGATTTGGCCCGCGGGCCGCCAATTGAATAGCCCTGCACTACAGCATTTCTTTGTGGGAGTTTGGGCCACATCTTTTCTTTCAACACACACAGTGGATTCGTGTCAGTGCTCTGGAGTTAATGTGACATTTAGGAAAGCGTAGACTTCACACAGGTCAGCGGTCTCTCCAGTTGAGAGCACACTCCACTGCTTTATGAAGCTCAATTGTATGCTGGAACTGTAATTCTGATGGAATTAGCTTTTTTATTTCTGCTGCTATTCCCTGCCAACAGCAAGCTCGTTTTCCTGTGCTGTGTGACGCTGGAGTCTTTGAACCGTAAATTAGGAGCTGGCTGCAGACACAACATCTGCTGAGCTGCAGCTTCACTTTATCTGCTGCTCTTATCTCCCGCTCTCTACACTTCTGCTTGAAATGAATGTGTCTTTTCATTCAAAGGCCAGAGAAAACCTTTGTTTTGACAGTCTGAGAGGAAAACGTTTCACCTGAACTCTTGATAGGCAGTTGATTAAGAATCCTGCTGACACACAGATGTGAGAGGAAATGATGTGATGCATTCAGGCTCAGTGGAGCTGCTTGGAGCAACACAATCAGCTGTCACAGGAGATTTTATTGTTCGTTTAGTTTTACATTTCATATGCATGATGAAAGAATGTTCTTAAAAGGGATTTTTTTGTATATTTTATTCATATTTAACCCCATGTTACTCTGAATTATTTAAGAAAACTTTGAATGGTTCCACAGTGAACCAATAGACAAAAAAGTGATGTGAATTCTGTATCACAACTTCCTGTTACGATCCATCAAGACCACTTTGTTTCTGATTCTCTGTTCACTTTGGAGGTTTTGGAGAAAAACAATGCTTCTTTAAGAATTTAAGGTAACCTGGGGAGATTGTTTGAAAGGAAATGATGCTTTTGTGTGTGAAGTATTTCTTGAAGATGTTATGTGGCATGAAACACATATCTTTGACGTCAACAGAAGAAAGTTACAGTCAATATAGCAGATAGTCCAATTAAATGTAATCATGTAATATTAATTTAGTCATTCAAAAATCTTGTCATCAAACTCTCAGCTCGAAATCATTAACCATATTTAATATTCTGTGGAATATGGAACATGCCTCAGCTGTAATGCTATTGTGTATGATACAAATCTAACGTATTGATTCTTAACATGTTGTCCTGTGTTTTTTTCTGTGTGTGCAGAGCTGGAGGTGGCGAGGATGAGCACTGATGGGAACTTACCCGATCTGAAGTTCCCACAGACCGGAGGACAGGGCAACTCCATCCACCTGTCGGCCAACACGCTCAAGCAGCACGGGAGAAACGGTGAGGAAACACACCGCTAGTCATGCTTCAGTTGGTGTGTCGTGTTTTATTCAGGATGTGATATAACAGACATGGCTATAAAAAATACTGTTGCATTGCTTTTAATTTCTTGCATGTCTTACATTGCATGGAAGTCTTGCAGTAAATTCATTACAGATGCATTGAATAACTTTACATGTTCCTTCCAAATCCTCTTATATGGTCTGCATATAAAACACCTGGATCGATGTGAGAGTTTAAATAGGATCCATGCTGTACATTCGAGAGCTTCCTCCAAACTAAAATGAGGTTGTTAGAAACAATGAGAAACGTCCACGAGTAATACCGGTCCATTTTTAGATTGTATTATCAGCCCATGTAAATGAGGCTGGGCCCCCGCGGCGCCCGGCTCCTCTCAGCTGGAGGACGCGTCCACGTCCAGGATCATTAGAGCTGGGTGGCCCATATCTCCCCGTCAGACGGCGCCGTAGCACCCTAACTATTTCCTTTTCATCTGAGTGAGTGATCTCAGTCTCGGCAGGAGGGAGCTTCCTTTCATATCAATACTCCACAGTGAGGCTGCAGGAGGTGATGGTGAGGAAGAGGATTTTAACGAGAGGAATGCTCGCCTTTGTCACTGCCAGCGGTAGAGACTAACCACATTTTTGGGATGCTGAATTCAAATAACTGTCTGTTGATGTTGGAAAGATTTCTTTCCTCTTGTGGAATTATGTTGGCAACCCTGACGCTGGTCTGTGTTTTGACAGTTTACAACAGTGTTGCTAAAGCTCACTGGCGTTTGATATTATGTATAAGCCTTCAAACTAGCATATTGTTGTCAAATGATATTACCACTGCACGGCTCATTATGTTTAGGCTCTTTGTTGTTTTTAAGGCTCAATTCCTTGTTCCACTTGAATATAATCTTAATCCTAGAGTATGCAAACATATTTCAGACATAGTGAAGAGTCTAGCTTTGTGGCAACACAGAGTTTAGGGCAAATCTCCTATTATGTGTTTGTGAATGTATTCTCTGCTCAGGACTGAGTTTTTCTGCCCCATTGTCTTCCTAAAGGTGAGATCCGGATTGCGTTTGTTCTGTACAAACACATCGGGCTCTACCTCTCAACGGAAAACGCCAGCATGAAGCTGGGCAGCGAGGCGATGGCGACCAATTACTCGGTCATCGTTAACTCCCCGGTCGTCACGGCGGCCATCAACAAGGACTCCAACAAAGTGTACCTCTCCGACCCGGTCATCTTCACCATCAGACATCTGCAGGTACGCTGTGCTTTCGGTCTCTTTTGCACACAAAGAATCCCATCTCAAAGTTTTACTCAGGAGGTGTGAAGGATTGCTCACAGAGTGTTGCCGTTGTTGTTTACTAGTCCGAACAAACAATAGACTGATCTCTTCAACAAATATCCTTCACACTGAGCCTCACTGCAGGCTGCTGAGTCATGGTGGGGAGCCACGACTTCTCCCTCTTGACTCCATTATCTTCTCCACACTCTGCTTCCCTCCAAATATCCCTGTTTGTTTGCGAACAGCGCCCTCAGCCATTACCACGCGTGTTGAGCAACCATAGGAGAGTTGCAGGTCTCATGTGTAGGAGGGACCTGGCAGGAAGCAACACGGCAGAAACACCCTGCAGAGGGAAAGAGAATACAAGAGGGAGAGCTTGTGGATGTCAACTGATGGTAAAATGTCAAGGGGCAACATCAGCACAGTTATTGCTCTGAATCACCTTAAGAGTCATTTGCAGATTCCATTCTTTTTACTGTTTTGATAAAACCATGCCCTTTCACAAAAGTGTGTTTCCTGCACTTCTCAGCTTACTGTCTGTCAATCACGCTAAATTGACATAGACACACAGACATTTACATATAGAGTGCATTCTGTGTACACCGATGGCTGTACAATTAATCGTAAAATAATCATGCGCAATTAATTAAACTTGATTGGATGCAATATTGACTTTTTGCATGTACAGAAGCGTGCTGTGGAGCATCAAATGAAGACTCTGACGCTCTGATTATCTGGCCTACTTGTGGCTGCAGGACAGCATATTTTAGTTTCTTTGAAAAATAAATAATAACTAATAATAATAATAATAACTGTGATAATCATCTTTACTTATATCAGATCAGCTGGCAAACTTTATAAACCCTGAATACCAACAAGCACTTTGGTCCCAGCTGTGTGTGTCACTTTTTTTAGTGTCCCCTGGTTTTCGTCGTGTTTCCAGCTTCTTGTAGTGTTTTGTATCCGCAGGGATTCATTTATGCAGCACTTTTAGTCAATTCTGCGCATGTTTCGTCAAGTTGGGGAAGATGTTTCTTCATTTGCGTCTGTTTTGGCACTTTTGTATTGTTTGGCATTGTTTCAAAAGCTGCAGCACATTTCTCCGAATAGAAATATTTTGGGCCAGCGTAATAATGATAGCTTATTCATCTAGAATGCGTCGAGCCCTTGAAAATGAACCTTAGTTTTCTAATCTCAAGTGCAATTTTTTTTTGTTCTCCACACTTTATCCCGCTCTGATGCGTGAGGTTTTGGATCGCTGCTCTTCTGGGGAGGTGATGATGTGTCCTCTGGTTATTGTTTTGCTTCCCTGCCTCACCACTTAATGGAACTCATTAAAGTCATTAATGGGACGGAGGGTCGTCCTATCTGCTCGCCGAGGAGTCTTTTACACACGCCGTTTGGATGTGTGAAGGGTAAACTCAGTCAGCGGCAAATTTACATTCACAGAGGATAAACCTTATTAGACTAATTAGCCTACAGCGAGAGTGAGAGTACGACAAACTGCAGCTCCTCGCAGAGTTAACAGTAAGACGGCGGACATGTTTAACCTTGGCAGCTGTGCATCACAAAGAAAAGCCACATCTGCTTTGCTTCTGAAGACGCCAAATAAATTGGGCTCAAGAGGGAAGGGCGGTTGATGTATCTAGTTATCATTCCTTTTGTTTGGTTGTGCAGTGGATGCGGGTGACTTGTGTAAAATGGCGAGCGAGATAGAGGGGCAGTCTATTAGAGTTCAAAAGAAAGTAAAAAATGGCATGATGCTGTATGACAGTAAAACCAGCTTCATATTGAAAAGGGCAGGAGAAAACTATTCTCGGGATGTTTATTCTGCAAAGAAAGGATTTAAGCATTTAACTTGATAAAACTACCGGTGATAAACTGCAGACCCCTTGTTTGACCTAGTCAGGAGACAACCTGCGGCTTCACGCAACTAAATAAATGTTTCCGTTGTCGATTCAATACGCAGTTTTTCCACAAAGACACACTCAAAAAACACTTTTATTTACCTTTATTTTCCTGTGATTTGAATATTGCACTAGTCCATATTGCAATACATTGTTGAACTATTGTCATAAATCAAATAAAGAATTCTCAACTGTGACAAAAATGACAGATCACTCCACTTAAAGGGGGCAGCACTCATGTGTTCCTGTTATGAATTCAACCTGTTATTCATGTTTTCCCTCTAACAGCAGTCTGAGGAGAACTTCAACCCCAACTGTTCGTTCTGGAGTTACTCCAAGAGGACCATGACGGGTTTCTGGTCCACGCAGGACTGCCGCCTGCTCGGCACCAACCGCACACACACCACCTGCTCCTGCACACACCTCACCAACTTCGCCGTGCTCATGGCCCACGTGGACGTCAAGGTAGGCAAACTCTTCCCTCCTGCTGCTTCTCGGATGACCTGTTTATCATCAAAAAGTGCAATTGACCAAAATGCAATCAAGACGAATGAAAAGGCATTGATCCGTCAATACTGCTTTACACAGCCGCTTACAAGGAAAGTGAGCTTCAGCAGTTTCTGTTTGTCAATATGTGTTTTATATTTCCCTTGCTTTTTAAGTTCACAGTGTTGTAATAGATTGAGAAGTGTTTGCTGACCTTCACCGCACTTTGTAGACTAACATTTCAAGTGCCAATAAACACACACACTCTTCATATAGTTTTAAACAATGACCCTGTCTGTGTAAGTGTGTATCGATTGCAGCCGCCTCAAAACTGTCTGTGTAACAGCCCGGATTTATGATGAGGTGCAGCAAAACAATGCCTGTTTCAAGTTCCTTTATACACGATATATCCTTTAAATAAAGTTCTTTTTTTGGCTTTCTAACCTTTACGTAACACTTGGCTTCATGCCTTTTAGATGTATAGACTCTTTTTGTGTCTCTTTTGCCCCTTTTCATAGAAGTAGAGTGGTATCACTCTGCAGGTAAATGGATGAATGCATCTTTAGCAACAACTCATGTTTCTATAATGACTAAAATCCATCTGTTTGTTTCTTTTATTTATGCATGAAAGTGGTCTTTTGTTTACCAATAAAGACAGAAAAGAGAGAACAACGGGCACGTTAACATTGTATCCTCATATCGCTGGATTTGATCAATGCACCATTTTTGGTTTTTTTTGCCTTCAGGCTTGCTGCAGAAGCTAAGTGGAATGAGCGCAGTTACTGTGAGTGCCGGAGAGCAATTCATGGGAGGTGCTAATGGAAGTTGTAAAAAAAAACAAGGCCTGTTCCAGTAAAGGAAGTGTAATTTGGCTTTGAGATGTGTGTGTTGTTTTTATTGTGGGCAGCACTTTAGAAAGCTCAGTGGGTAAAGAGGATGTTAGAGAAGAAGTTCTGTGATGCTGACAGACGGATTAATAATTCCTGTCACAGGAAGTTTGAGGAGTTGCCGCTGACAGGGAGAGTCTGGTCGCTGCTGAGGCATCTGTCTCTGAGAGCCTCTCTTCTCAATCAGCGTCCCAGTTGGCTCTCGTCCATGAAACCACTCCAACTGCCTTCACTCTGCAAAAAGCATGCATGCACACAGTCTGAAATTCATCTTCCTCCTGCACACATGGCTCCAGGGAGGGCTGGGTGAGGGGTTTCTTCCAGAGGGAGCCACTGTTTGTCACTCAGCAGCGTGACTCCGCTGCCACTAAGCTCTCTGCAGGCTGAAGGCCAGGCTGGAATAGAGAGGGAGGCGCGAAGAATGGGATCCTTCACGCGCTGAAAGCAGAGCGGGGGGAAAGGAAGCCGTAAAAGGAGCGCTTTCACTCAGCCCAATCCTTTAGTGGTTTGGAAAGCCCGGCTGGCTTGTGGCGCTTCATTCACCGGAGGAAAGTGGACAGTTGTTACACCCCAGTTCTGAGTGATAGCGTTTTTCTCCCCCTACCTTACTCTTTATCTTCTCTCCGCTCTGCTGTTATAAAAGGCCGCTTGTTCGAAAGGTGCCGCTGGATGGCAGATACGGAGGCTTTTTATTTGCTGTCACAGTGTTGTATCTGAGAACACTGGTGAAAGGAGTGTGTATGTGAGAGGCAGAGGAAGACATTTCATAAATGCAAGACACTCAGAGTTTTTGTATCCATGGAAACAGGACATACCAATGCTGATCCCTGCATTGTTATTACTCATTACCCTCCGAGCAGCAGATTATATTCTAACCTTGTTTGTTTCTTT